TCAATTGGCAATTAGACAATGTTTTGACAATCATTCCAATAAACAATCAAATAGTGTAATTAATCTAATAGTGTTTATTATTTTTGTTATAAATGCTCAATAACAAAGAAAATGTATAAATTTACTTTCAACATATGTTTAGGTTTTATTACAATTCTAATCATCACTTTTTAAAAACAAACATTACCAAGGAGTAAAAAGTAGTCAAAATAATACCAGTGCCATGGAAAAAACTGTCCTTTTGATACACCATTTTTTGCAGGTACAAAATTTAAGGATTGCAAAATTTTTTTTAACATTATTCATGTTTTTATCTGCATTAGTACAATGCTTATGTGAAGATAAATTACTTCCAACTTTCATTTTATACATAGAATTATATTCTATCACTTTAAACACTATTATTAGTGGACACTAGTATTTGAGTAGGCACGCCGTTTTAAACAGCAAACTTATTTATTTTCACCTACCAGCTTGAAATTTCTAGAAATCTTATTAAAGAAAAATTTGCGCTCTTTGGCAGAAAATGAACATGCATCCTTCAGAGAGAGAGAGAGAGAGCATTTAATCCATTGTACCTATACCACTTTGACCACAGAGAGACAGAGGGAATAATAACTGAACAGTACTAAAAAAAAAAAAAAAAGACAAGAACATGATCTACCTACCCCTGTAGATTAAAGGGTCCAGTACAAAACTGCCAAAGTTATCTGCATTAAGAGACATCAGATGAAGACAAGAGAGAACAATGGCCAAAATGATGGGATAATAATGAAATTATTAGTATAATTGTATTTAATGACAACTCCTCATTCTAGAAATTCAAACAGAAATTATATATTGATTCACGGCTAGTGCAAGGGTCTTGATTTTTAACATTAACTTGAGACTTTTCTTGTTAAAATGTTGAATAATTTTAACACATTCAACATAAAAAGTGAATTTTATAGTGTTTTTTTTTAAGACTTAGCATGTCAGCCAGTTATGTGCCATGCATGATACACACTTAAGCGATCGAGGCAAATTATTTCCCACAATAAATTGCCATTTCTTTCTGCAGTTGCCATCTAAGGCTATAGAACCTGGTCTGTCCTGCTATTTACCCATAGCCGGGGGGAGAAGAAGAGGATACATATCTTTCCCAAGTGTATTAGCACATAAGTAAATGTAATGGATCTGACTGGATTTCAAACTCAGCTCTCCGATTCCTCAATTGGAGCTGCTATCCATTACTCCACCATTGAGCAAAACAAATCCATGGATTTATATTTAAAAAAAAAAAAAAAAAAAAAAAAAAGCCCCCAGAATGATGTCAAAATCTGAAAAAATTTTCATCCTTTAATAGTCAGTTGCACTTAGTTTAATTTGTAACATATATAAGTGTAGGAAGGAAAAAGCAAATGGTGATAAGAAAGCAAGAGTCGCAAAAAACTACCCTGCCCATCATTTTTAATTTTGGCAACAATTTTACTATAAAATATTGTGTAGAAAAGATGCGTCCCACACAGTAAACTTTTTTTCTTGTAATAAATATGATGCAAAAGCAGATTGTTTTATGAGACCCATGAACAACTTCCTAAAAATACACACCAATCTCATATGTCATTAACATTTAAAAAAACAAAAGAGGAGACTTTTTACATGAAAAAACATTTCTGGTAATCTAACAGAAAAAAATATATTCAAAACTTGCATTTTTTTACTTGCTTGTGTATTTCCCAAATCCTTTTTATCTTTTGAACAGATAGTTCTTCAGACATGTGATTTGGCTTCTCTATTTCCCATTAATATAAGTAGAAATCCTTCCTCTGCCCAAACAAAACCTGGTAAACTCATCTAATTCATACACATTTCATTTTTTTCAGTCATCTGTAATTCATGTTCCTTTCTTCAGAAAGAATCCCATTTTTCCTTGATAATTCTCTGGCTTTTTTCACCAGGTACACTGAAACTAAGATCTATTCACGTGTTTTTGCATACCGTCCAATACTCAAAATCTGATGTCAGTAATTTGATCTTTTAAGAATTATCACTGTCCTCTTTCATTGTATCAAGAATTCTAAGTCTACATACTTTTTCATCTGATACAAAGTACTCTTCATTTAGTAGATGGATCTAAACTAGTAAGTTTATTTTTTTCCTCTCAATTTCTTTGTTTTCGGATTTCCATATAAAAATACTGCATACTACCAATCACAGAATGACAAGTTAGGAATTGAAAAAATAAAAAAACAACAACAAATAAAATGAAATTTTTTTTTTTTTTAATCATTTCATCCCAAGCTAGGCCACTAACACACACACGGTTTACTGAGTGTGACAGAATATACAAAAAACATTACTAAGGAGAAAGAAAAATAAAAGAACAGAATTTAAGGAGGACAGGAGATAACAAATGACATTTAATTAATTAAGTTCCAAAAGTGTGTAAAGAAACTATTACCCTAAAACTTATGGATACATCCAGCCATTTCCACTGTAAAATGATGAGATCTTGCCATCAATCTAGTAATGGGCTTAAATTCAGAATTTAAGTACCATAGAAGAGAGCTCATCTTTAGATTTTATCAAGGATCTATAAATATAAAGCAGGAGCACTAGACCATATGTGGCAGCTATATTTCTAAGCATGGACAAATGGTAGACTTGTAAATATGCAAAATAGATTTTGGCAAGAAAAATTGTCTAGTACAATACAGTGAATCAACCTTCCTAGCAGCAGACCTAGCAATTGATTCAATCTAATCTTTCTACTTCATGTAAGCAGAAAATGTTAGCCTGAGAAGATGCAACAAGTGACTCTCCTGGCGGCTAGCACCAGCCATGCTGATGGAAAGCAGAAAAGATTTTCTCAGACAATAAAGGCATTAAAATTAACAAGCTATTCCTTGCCTCAGTTAACAACAGAATGTAGGTCTTTTTTCTTTTACATCAGCTCCCAATTTGACCTTATTGACCCAATCAGAATACTATTAAAAAAAAAATAAAATAAGAGTGCTAAAGATTCATTTAAATTAAAATGCATTTTAAAAGAAAATATGCCTTTGGTATAATAGGAAAGTACTTGAAAACCATATCAAGGGTTGACCAAAGTTTTGCAAGTAAAATTGAATAGACAAAATTTAGATCTTACCATACAGCGACTTTTACTTTGCAGCTTCCACTTAAAAAATATTGAAAGTCCCAATTGTAATAAATGGAAACACAAAATACATTTGCAAAATACATTTTCCTAGAAATATATTCAGTTGTACAATAAGAACTGTAACCAGAAATGAGTTTTCAAAAAAATCACGTGGTATGAGCATATTTTGTTTTGGCTTTCGTAGAGCGCTCAATTTATAATGAATTTTCTACAATCATCATCACCCTTTATAATTGAATAAAATCTTTTTTTTTTTTTTTTTTTTTTTTTCTTTACATATTCGTGGCCTGGAGTGCTTAATGATTAAAAAAAAAAAAAAAAAAAAACATGATTATTTCTGGTTACAGCAGTAACACCAAGCTTTTTTTAATCTTCTTCTTAGCCGAATAATATTCATACATATAACCGACGCCTCTAAAGTTAGACTTTTTTCTTCTTTTTTATTAATCTTCATTGTATTTTTTTAGCCTTCATAATTATTAAGTAGAGGCACCATTGCTACCATAACGAATACATGCTTACTTTTTAGTCCTTTAAAAAAAAATGTAAAAAAGTAACAAAGAATTCCAGAAATTTCTTTGCTGTCTTACGTAAGAAGAATTTCATTATGAAAGGAGCAAGAAAGATTTTTTAAAAAAGCGACTTCTTAACAGTGAACGAGAGAAATTAATTCAACAGTACTTTTTTAAAGGAATTTTTCTTTAAAGTTTAAACTAAAAAAAAAAAAAAAAAAAAAATTAAAAAAGAAGTGCATATATAATAATATCCAGTACATTTTTATTAGTTCACTTAAAGTAAACTAAAGTTAATTAAACTTAAAAAATATATAAGGTTCAAATAATATTTAAATTTTAGTATTTAATTTTAAAATTATTACGGACAATAAAGTGCGTAGTTTTACCTTGCAGGTAACTTGAAATTGAAAGTATAAAAATAAAACCTTTTTCTCCTCACAAAAATAAATTAAAAATACAAGACTAGTGAAGTTTTTTTTTTTAATCACCAGCTAATCAGCAATCAAAGTAAAATGTTTTTACGTTTGTTTATATTTATAATACATTCAATAGTTTTGTTTACGAATCCATAAAAAAAATTAAAAGAAAAAAAAATACTTCGCGAAAGTAATTGAAACTTTAAAATAAAAGATTATCATTTAATATTTCTTTGCCTACTTTTTGCATAAATTTGTTTACTAGTCACAATTTTAATTTTAAAAGTTATTTTTAAACTAAAGAGTGTTTTCTTTGGAAGAAGCCGAGATACAATTCATCAAATTGAGAATACAAACTTTTTAACAAAAATAAAAATACAGTTCCTCAAAAAATTATTATTAATTGCAAATATAAAAAATAATAATTTTCTTTCTTTATTTTTGTTAATTTTAAACGTTTATTTTCTTTAAATAAAGTTATTTGTAGCACAGGAAAAAATAAGTTGTTTTTACAATACCAAAAAGGTTTTTTTTTACGTGAAAAAAAAATTAAAGTTGAAAATAAATTAATGAAATTGAAATCTATTGTAAGGGCGGCTAAACCAATCAACACCATTTAATTGCGAAGTCAATCAAGAAAATGATCATAAACAGTTCATCATTTAAACGATTAAATATATTAATTATATTAATAATTAAATAAATTTTTGGATATTTAAATTTTGAAACCAGATTAAAATGGGTGGTATGCGACCAAAAAGCATTTGTTAAAACTAAAAGCACGAAAGATTTAAAAAGAGCATAACCTTTAAAAATAAAATGTAAGAACGTACATCAGACATAAAACTTTAACCTTTCGGAATTAAACAAATTAACGGTTCAGCTAAAATTTGTTATAATTTACAGCAAAACAATCGTACTCACAAGAAGAAACGTTTTAAAAAAAAGCCGGGGTAAACAGAGAAAATCAGTCCTCTTTGAAGCAGGATAGGCACATTGAATGTTGTAATACAGCGTTACGAGGGACAAGCTACCCATTCATGACATATCAATATAGAGTTAAAACACACTTAATCGATGCGGCCGCAGATGCGAATCTACTTCAGTTTTATAAGAAATGGGAAATACATTTATTTACCAAATACATAAATAAGTAAAATTTTAACCGATTATCCCAATTCTGTTGAGTGCTTAAATCAGTTTATTTAATTGACTGATTATTCCGTCGAATATATCTGCTGATAATCAGCAGCTGATTGTAACAAAAGCATTGTTTACATTTTACGATGCGTTTTCAAGTCTGAGGCATAATTATTATTATTACAGTTGCATTAAAGTTAATTATTAGATTATTTTTGGTATGAATGTACAAAAAGGACATAATTATAATATCTCGCTCTGACTGACTACTATTCAATAATAATCTAATTTCATATCTCCCGTTCAATCACTTTTTTTTGTGTCTTGATTCATCGGAAGGCGAGTGTTTTTTGTTTGTTTATTTTATTCGTTTGTTTTTTACCGTGTCTGTTTTCTTGCATTTTTACACTTACACATACTTCTTGTATACAAGAATAACCAATACTTACTTTTTAGTAAATAAACGTAATTAATTGTTATTTTAAGTTTTTATTATTTTAAAAACAATTTTTTCTTGTTCTTGTATTTTTTTCCTGCATAACATCATTACAAGAAAATGTTTAGAATTACGACGAAACTATTTCATTTTCTTTTTTAGATTTTTTTATTAAGTGCGTGGTGTACCCACGTTAATCATTTGATAAGCATAAAAAGTTAATAATTGTTAACAAGCATCAATAATTCATCTACTATTAAAATATGAAGTTATAAAATTTGGCCTAGTATATGGCGTCCACATTTTTTGCACTATTATAAAATAAAAATATATATATATAATCAAAAAATGTCAAATTATATAAAAAAATTGATTAAAAGCTAAACATCCAAAAAAATATATATATTAGGCTTCCCTATTTCACTTTTATTTTGAGGGGAGTTTAAAACGGTTGGTAAAAAAAATTGTTTGAATAAAATTTCATGCCATACTTAACTTTGTATATGTGAGTTACATGTGTGTGATGCTGAAAAACCGCCAGACAGATTCTTTAAAAAAGATAAAATTTGGTTTTTAAAAAAAATATAAAAAATGTTACTCGATTATGATGGTCTGTAAACCCGCCAATATAAAGATGAAAAAGTAGATTGTTCTTGATATACAGAATTCATATATCGTTTTCCCACTTAGTAGTTTACAAACATCTCTTATATTCGGTACTTCCACTAATTCGGTATACGTAAGGCTTTTTAAAATGATTTTTTAAAAATGAAAAAGTTTTCTTAAAGCTTTCGTTTGAGCTTTAATTGAAGGCTAAAAAGGATTTATTATTTCCAATACGCAATATACTCTGTGGTGTATTTCAAACAGAAATTATATTGATCGGAATCGACTTTTTTCAGTAAAATCGATAAAAATCGGCCATTAAAACACATATTTGTAAACAAAAGTTAATTTTCGGTTTTAAAAATCTTGTAAAAATAAAAATATATATTTCGGAAACGTTATTTGAGGAAAACTAGCAAATTCAAAGTTAAATTAATCTGATTTGAGACAAATATTAATTACTTATCGCATAAAATGTTGTATACAAACATTTCCTAAATACGAGGTCTTGTTTTTCTAACGTGTTGATTTATTGGCAGTTGAACGTGTTCATCGTTAAGTATGGTGGAGCAGATGATTAAGTTTATAAAGGGAGACAACCCTTAAAACATGTGACCTTTTAATAATGATTTATCGGTTTGTACAGCCATACTTCAGAAAGTCTGCACGTAATCACACATACAAAAACAAATCGAAATTCTTTTAAAAATATTCGGGTATCGTCAGATTGGAATAAGCTTTAAATATAGGAATAGTAAATATAGTTTTACTTAATAACAATATTTCTTAAGAATTATCACACCGAAAATGAATTTTAAAAAATTAAAATTTTTTATAAATTATTCAATTTAGAATTGTTAAAAATGAAAACAAATCTTGTAAAAATTTATTTTTCGTTGAAATTTTTTTCTTCAGACAATATTTTATTTAATATATATTATTCATAAAGTGATTAAAGCTTCTCCAATTCAATAATGCCTTATTTTTATTGCATTTTTTTATTTTTTGATTCAGAACATATTTTCGGTAAGACCGAGTTCGATTTTGCAAAAATATTCGGTAATTTAAATCCTTCAAAGAATCCTGCTTTTAACTAATATAAATATAGTCACTAAAAATTATCGTTGAATTTCTCAAATTTTCATAAAATTAAGTAAAAAATATTTTCACTAAGATTTTCCAATAAAAAAATTAAAAAATAATTTCATTCTTTTGTAAATAAGTCCAGAAAATTTAATTAAAATTATTTGATTTTTGCAAGAATTTCTAAATTAATGTACCTGTCAACGCAAAAAGAGACTAAAATTTGCTATACTAAAAGTTAGTACAACTACTAACGCAAGAAAAATAAGTTTTTTATTCAAAATTTCAAATGTTCTAAAAAGGAGTAAAAAATTTAATTAAATAATCAAAAATACTTTAATCGTCCCCTCTTAATAATAAATAACATAACGATTTTGCCGATAAAGCTGTTTTCATTACGTTTGGGATATGTTTTCATCACGGTATGCTGATTTTTTAGCGTTTTCGTGGAAGTATCTAAAAGGAAAAAAATAAAATTAAAAAAATACTTTTAAATAAGATTCACAGTCAAAAATGGTATTTATTAAAGTAAACTTTACATTTTTGAATTCTTCAAATATGTCTCTATTTATTAAAAGAACCACTTGGGATGAACTGCAATGGAATTAATTTCAAAATCGCACATAAAAATACAAGTAAAAAAAATAAACATTAAGTGTGGATTTTTTTTTTCTGTCCAATCTGAAATAAAATAACGCGTTTTATTAAATTATATAAGCATGAATGCTCAAAAAGTTTTATTGAATTACAAACCTAGAAGCCACCCCTTTGGGCGAACTTTCGGCCAGCTCCTGTGGAGGGCTTTTGACCATTCGACCTTTTACCTTCAGCGTCCTATGTACGTACGTAAAAGTTATAAGAATTTAGAAATAATAAAAAATTTTCTCCTAATTCGGCACAATCTTTCTTTGTATGCGCAATGAATCACCGTAGTTTGTTTACAATACATTTATTTTGCACGCAATTTTTATTTTCTTTTAAAAAATCACCATTCTTTTTTATCCCCTTGTGTCGATCTATATCGCACATACATACATACATACATACAAATCACAAACAACGACAAGCATTCATTGGTTAATAAAACACCACTACGTTATTATAGACAATTTAAAATCGCAGCAATGCGACAATTTTGTAATCGGTCTATTTTTATGTAGTCAATTTTGTACATTTTTGGGAGAAACAGACCACTGAAGTTTTCTTAAGTCTCTTCAAAACTCGCTCGCTGATTGGTCAATGCCAACCCATCAGATCGACTGCACGTGAAGAGTAATTTCCCCCGCGCAGCGATCTGGAGCCTATAGTCACTTATATAAGCAAGAATTTTTCTTAGCTAATTAGTGAGAATTCAGCCGAACGAATCCACGACAGTTGAAACTATGCGCCAATCTTTCTCACTGACACACACCACTCACATGCTGAACATTCCTTATACACTCACATAATCTTTTTCTTACATAGCAAAATTTTCTGAGAACAGTCCTTATAAGAAAAATAAACATTCTTCCAGTGAACTTTGGAATACTCATAATACTGTTAAAGAGAGACAACTCTTGTTTTGTTCAACCTTTTCTTACTTAAATGCATGCTTTCTTTCACATTGTTGTTTGATATTGTACACCTTGTTAAATACATATTTTATGTGTAACGCTTTTTTCCCCTTTTTTTTATTTTTTTTTTTTTTTTGCTTATCCTTTTCCACGTAAGTCTTGTTTCCTAATCTAAAAGTTAAATTAATGTCGTGTAGTCCGCCACACCTTCACATAAAGTCACTCTTAAAAGACATTAGGGAACCTGAACTACGTAATATTTTGAATACGTCACACTACGTGTGCTAGAAAATTAAATGAAACATATGAGCAACGTACCGTGCCCCGCTTAAATTTTAATTACGATTTAATTAGACGATATCAATTGCAACGAAAAGCGAAATTAAATAATTGTTTTTTTTTAATCCTTTCTCCCTGTTCGATGTTTAAGTTTAACTTTAAATGAGTTATTTATTTAATTTTGAATCGTGTGTATTTACAGTAGTCACTAACTGTTACTTCATTTTTATGTTTCGCTGAGATCGGAATAGGGACGGACACACGTACACTGTGCTTTATTTATATAGACTTGGAGGCTGGTTTCTCACAACGCATGTGAACCTGATATTATCCCTGTAATAGTCCTTAAGAAATGTGCCCCAGAACTGGCTCCTGTTCTTCTCTAAACTCTAAAAAAATGTCCGCCACCGCTTGCTTTTCGTTTGCTGGAAATCTTCTTCTATTGTTCCAATCTTTAATAATTCAGATGAACCGTCTGATCTGTCTAACTAGCCTTTATATCTATTTTTGTTAAACTATTAGACACCTAATCAAACGTGAATTGATTAAGCATCTCACATCTTTGGGCCTTCTTTTCAGACAAGCAATATGGCTTTCGTTTCTCTGGGTCAACTGCTGATGTATTAACGATTATTGATGAAAGAGTCTATCAAGCTTTAGATAAGAATAGTCAAGCTCGGGCTGTTTGTTTACACACCTCGAAAGCATTTGACAGGGTTTGGCATACCGGTTTTATTCACAAGTTCAAAGGTTATGGTATTTCTGGACTTTTTTTTTTGAACTGATTCAACCTTTCTGAAAGATGTAATAAACGGCCACTCTTCTACATATTTTCGCACTAATGCAGATGTCCAAGGGCTTTATCCTTGAACTGACTTATTTTCATAAATGACCTTCCTGATAACATTAGTTCTCAACTTGGTATCTATGTTGATGACACA